TCCCGCACGGAAGTTTCTTGAGTTCCTTCGGCAGCGGTGTCGACTTGAGGTGGGACAGTAGTCTTATGTTCGGATGGTTCTATTTTTAGAATGCACACGCTATTGAATGGACGCGTGAGTATGTTCCTATTTTGCATTTTAATTTCAACGCTCCTGGTTGCTCCAGGTTTCCCTCCAAATTTGACAATACGTCCCATGGGCCATAGATTCTTTGGATTATATTTTTCTTCTACAATTAAAAGTTCGCCAATCCTAGGGGCGGATTGCGTTTCCAGTCTCTTTCCTTTATGGGCGGTCTGAGTCCTGGACTGAAGTAGAATAATAGGACGAGCTAATGTTGGGCGCTCGATTCGTTGAACCTCTGGTTCGAGAGGAAGTAAACCATTTTGGGCGGTTTGTAGTGGGTGGTGCTTGATCTCATTTATAGTTTGCTGTTGCGCAATATTTATGAGAAGGTGGCCATCGGTTAAAAAGTCGTTTGCGGAGAATGCGAAGTTTTCTCTTCTAGATGCTTGAGAAATAGAGAGAAGCTCGGGGCGGCGATTCTTTGTAAGTAAAGAAGGTTCGCGGCCGGGTTTGATGAATTTAGGTTTTAGAAAACGAAGAACCCAAATGGTAGTTCGTATTTGATCCCATGAGTGAAATCTCCCTGTATTGATTAGGGTGTTGGTTATTTGAGACTCAGCGGTGGAGTCGGGATTGGTTAAGGTTCTGATTTCCTTGGCGCGGTTTGTTATAAAGGTCGGTTGGTGTTCCACACCTAGAAGCCAGCTAAGGGCAATGGTTGAATCACTCCAAATGAAGGTTTTATCTAGTTCCCGTTGTAATTCCTTTTGGATTAATTTGGTTGCTCTAACTCCCGCTAGAATTCCGAGTAGTTCTAATCGAGGTAGGGTGAGTTTCGAGTTTGCTTTTAGTGGGCGCAAACGATTTTCTAAGAGGAACAAGGCGGTTCGCTCCTTTGAAAGATGATGCCTATTGGCGGCATCTAGGATGTACGGAAAACTAATAGTCCCAAATGCAATTCCTTTGTATCGATAGACAGCTAAGTTGGACGGCGAGATAGGTTGGTCCAAGTTTTTAAGCCATAAGAATTTACAGAATTCTCGATCAGATTCGATTGATGAAATTTGATGACAGGCCTTTTCGACGTCGGCCAAAACGGGGATTTTGGTTTCCCGGAAGATGAGCAATTGGTTAATTAAATTGGCAAGTAAAACTGGTCCTCTAAAGAGTGATTGGTTGAGTGAGGGAAGTCCTTTTAGATGAGCGATTGCATCGTATAATAGGCGGATTTTCCCTTTATTTAATACTGCATGGTGAGGAAGGATGTGTTCCTGTGAGTTTGGGTTGCACTGTTCGGTTTCAATTACTCCTCGTTCAAGTTGGTTTTCTATTACGTCATGGTATTCCTGGGCTATTGTGGGCGCCCCTTCTATTTGGTTAAATACTGAATATAGGCATTTGGCAGCCATATCAAAATTGGAAGGTAATTCTAATGAGGATACGGAAGTTCCTTTTGGTGATTTCCGAGGAAGTCCGGCCGTGTATCTCCCGTCCTGGTCCTGTGTGATGGACTGTTCGACTAATCTATTGGCGATTTCGTCGTCCTTATTTTCGGAGTTGGCGGTAATACCCATGGACTGTAGGTTCCCAAATTGCTCTATTTCATTACTAGCATGCATTTCTTCCGGTGAGCTGTGCACGGCAGAAAGAGAAATGCAGGTTAACGAGGTAGGTGAAATGTAGTGGGGTAATTCACCGCAGAGCATCGAACCAAAATGAGTTTTGATAATATGTAGATTTCTACCTATTTTCCTGGATCCGAGGAAGAATCTCCAAAATTCTCTAACTCCTAGTAGAATTTCTGGTTCCCTATTTTTGACGGGAATATGTTTTAGTTCTCGGTGGTTAGTAGGGATCCGAGTTCCATCCCATTGAATACACGGAAATGCTGGGACGATTTGCGGAATTGAGCAAAAGACAGCTTCTTCCCATCTCCCATTGGGCTTATGGAGCCTAATCTTGTGGCCGGTTGAGCGAAATTTGACTTTATCGGCGCCAAAAACGCGTACTGAGTGATTGGAGGTAGAAACCCTCGGTGGTCTTAAACGGTCGACCAAAGATTGAGAAATGTAGGAAGTTTGGGAGCCGGTGTCCCAGAGACCAATAGTTGTGTAAATTGGACGTTTATTCCCAGAACTTAATTTTAGTTTGCAGGTCATTAAAAAGGTGTGAGGTTTTGACTCGGTGGCGGTCATAGCCATTCCTGGGTTGGCGGGAACACTCCGGTTTGTTCCGGGTAGATTTTCAGAATTCATTCGCGAATTTGTATAAATTTTAGTTGGTTGGTGAGTCAGACTATTAACCGGTGAAAGGTATTCATTCCCTCGAAAATAGTTATTTTGCTCGTTAGTTGTGTGACTAATTCTTCTTTTGTATTGCTCCCCTTTTTGGCGGGTGCAGATAATAAAGTGGTGCTTGCCGCTGCAATTTCTACATCTTTTGGTCGATGTGCATTGGCCGATTTTATGCCCTTCGCGAAGACAATTTAAACACCTGTGTTGAGCCTGCAAGCGGGTTTTGCGGCTTTCGGGTGTTGGGAATTTGTGGCAAACTGAAGGGAGGTGATCTCCATTGCAAAGTGAACATTGGACGACATTCCTTTTAATGGCTGTGAATGTGCGGGTAACGTTGACTGGAGGAGAACGATCTGGCCGGTGACTCTTTGATTGGCGAGTCGGTGAGTGCTCAATATTTTCCCTTTGACTGGACGGGACATTCAATCGCTTTGTGCACATTTCCACTTCTTCCCTTATTGCTACTTGTTCTAAAAGGAAATTCCTAAGTTCCTTATGTGTCCATTCCCTGGCTTGTGAACTTCGTTCCCTTTCTATTATTTTCTCAATAAGTGTGGACGGCAGCTTGGCTTTAATGGTTGTGACTAGTAGGGACGCGTCTTCTTTTGTGTTGAAATTGCATTCTAATTGCCGGCAAATTCTTTCTATAGTGTCGCAAAAAGTGCGAAGTGAGTCAGCGGTGTCCTTTGTTGGTGGTAAGAGAAGTAGCTCTGATTGGAGAGCCTCTCTAAGATTGCGGGTGCTACCGTATCTTCCCTTTAAGCATTCAACTATAATTGGGTAGTTTTCGGCTATTCTCGGGTATCCCTGGATGGTTGATTCCGCTGATCCCTGGAGTGAGTTACACAAATGGTGGATTTTGAGCGCGTCTGGTATGTTAGGGTTGTGATGGATGGCCAACTCAAAGCATTGCCAAAAACTGGTCCATTTTTCCGGTTCCCCAGAAAATTTCGGAATTTCCATGGGAGCGATTTTGAACGAGTCGTAGGCTGGGTTTCGCGGTAAATCCTGTTGGTAGGTCCTCTGGGAAGGATGCGAGTGTGGGGATTGGATGGAAGCGCTCCGTGATCTAGTCCTGGACTGGAGATTGCCGGAAGTGCCATCCCGCTCGACTATTTCATCGATTGTGTCGATGATGGCCTGAGCGTCCACGACCCATTCGGTAAAATGCTTGTAGCCCGCTAGGAGGGGGTCATCTGGAGCCGGGCGTTGGAAGTTTTGGTAAATCCTTTCCTCCGCCGGTAGGTTTTCTGGGTCGATTTTGCCCATAAATTCCATCCATTCCCGATTTAAACTTTCTATTCTTACGGTATTACTGGCCAACTGCTTGCGAAGAGTGCGGAGTCTTTGTAGTTGCTGTTCTTCTAACACCTCTTGATGGGCGGTGATGATGTTGGTAGCTTCATTGAGGTTGGTTTTGAGTTGTCTGATGGCTGGGACGATCATTTTGCGGATTGGTCCCGACGACATGATGGTAGAAATAAAGTAGATTGGTTGAGAAGTGACGGTTGAGTAGAAGAGTAGTGTAGACTGTAGAGTTGTGATGGTTGAGAAGTTCTGTAGTTGAAGATCTAATTGGGCGATCTGGTGAGTGTAGAACTGATGAGTCGAATTGAAGTGTCGACAGAAGAAGTAGTGTTGAGTTGGCTGGAAGTTGCCTGTCGGTTGAAAAACAGAAGAAAAATTTAATTTAAATTAATTAGAAAATTTAATGAAGATAATGAAGAGAAGAGAAGGGTCCCGGGTCGTGGCACCATAAAGTATGTCGCTGAAAGAATGATGAGCTGGGTGCGGCGCGACGGTATGAACCGCACAGCTGTCGGGAGGTTGAATTAGACTGAATAAAGTGAAGAGGAGCTGAGCTAGTCGGGAGGTAGCTGAGCTGGAATGTCCCGGGAATCCCTCAATCTTCGAAAAGGTGATCCTCTCTAGTGGGCGAAAGGATGGAACCAAAGCTCTGTAGATTGACGAGCTTATTGGATTGCGGCTCTTAAATGGACGAGCGGAAGTGATCACGCGCTCTTTAGTGGACGAGCGGGATCTGACACGCCTTAGGACGGCGATTTAAAGGAATACCAAGCAAAAGAGAATAAACAAATAAATATTTATTCAGGACCTTTTTCTTGGGTAATTAACCATAAAATAAAATGAGTGAAACAAAAACTTAAGTTTGGCCTAATTAGTTAAAAGGAATTTTAAATAGATTAAAGGCCAAAACCTAAGTTGGAAAAATAAATAGAATGCAGGTGGGGAAAAATGTGAATAATTGAAGGAGAAAATACACAGAGAAATTAGTAAAGCTAAAAATAGCTAAAACTTAATGAATGAATAAAATGATTGAATAAGCATAGGAGAAATGATCAGAAATGGGGTTAGCACAAAAGGGTGTGGCTAACAAAAGATATATCGGGCAATGACAAACGGTTAAAAAATAGACGGTGCAAAAGATCACCAATAAATTAGTCAAAAATATTTAAATAAATTCTGGCAAACGTCGCTTCGGCGACAAGACCTATCGGATCAAATGATAATTTTTTAATTTTAAAGACGTTACCATTAACAATTGATCTTTCAAGAATAAAATTCGGAAAAGGATTTTACCCAACCAAGGTTATTGTAATTAATGCGATATTTATTACATGGGCAGACGATTTTGTGGTTAATTTGGTCGAGGATGGTATTATGGAGAAAACTGCTGATATTCCATTCCAATTCAATCCACGCAACACAGTGTTGGGGCGTCTTATAAGATATGAGGTTGTCCGTAACAATTGGTCAAAAGACAAAGGATGGGGAACTAAGGAAACTTCTGGTGGTATTCCTTTTGAAGGTGGAGAAAAATTCATTTTGGAATTTGTTGCAGCGCCAAACAACACAATAATTGTAAGCTCGATTCGGCTCTACTTCAGCTTATGAGCCCAATCAAACTCTACGAGTCCAATCAAAAAATAATTGGTTTTTTCTTTGTGTTGCCAGGTTCGGGTATGGGTCCAAAACATTTCTTCATATTCGGAACCTACGCCCACTGGGTCTGGGACCATTCCTTACCCTCTGAAAGTTATACCCAATTTTTAAAAATATCAGAAAGACGTCCTAGACCACTGGGCGTAGGTCCCGAACATGAAGAAATATTTTGGACCCATTCACCAACCTGGCAACACCAAGAAAAAACCAATTATTTTGTGATCAGACTCATAGTTTGTTTGGAACATAAACGGAAGTAGAGCCCTCAATTCTTACCTTGATAATTTTTGTAGATTAATGTTAATAATAAACATTTTGCAAATTTCTCTCGTGTGGATTTGAGTAAAATTAGTCAATTATATATTGCTGGGATAAACACAATTCAACTACACAATTTAACTTTGTGCCCCAATCAAGTTGTAACGACTGTACAGCCAACAACTCCCACAAAGAATGTCGAAACGGCAATATGCAAAGATCCGATTATTTATAATAATCCGGTAAGATAATGAAAAGGGGATCCAGTTTTGGTTTAGCATTTAAGATAGGACATGGGTTGGGATCTATTTATAAGAAAGGAAGGTAGCTCAATCCCTCGGTAGCTCAGTAAAAAGCCTGTGCCCTCTCTCTTAATTTTTTAAGCTTATCGTATTAGCTGGCTGCTATTACTTTTTAATAGAGCTCAAACCAAGAAAATTAAATACAGGGTGCGGCAAATTAGCGGCCGCTTTTCTTTTGGCTATAACTTTCTTCATTTTTAATGAAAACCGATAATTCTTTTTTTGCTGGATTCCTGACACTCTAAGAATTTTTCTGATAGCAAAATCGCCTTTAAATTTGATAATTTAGTCTGATTGATAATCTCTCAAAGTTTAAGTTAAATTTTTTGAATAAAAGCTGGCCTGGATTCAATGCTATTATTTCGATATGAGAAATTTATATATCATTCGAATCAGCTCTCCAATTACATTTAAAGAAGTTGCCATTAACAATTGATCTTACAAAAACAAAATTCGGAAAAGGATTTTTGCCAGACAAGAGTATTGTAATTAATGTTACGTTTATTAAATGGGAAAACGATTTTGTGGTTAATTTGTTCGAAGATGGTGTTATGGAGAAAACTGCTGACATTCCATTTCAATCCGCGCAACGTAGCGAACCCGCCTAAATTATACTTTCAGGTTGTCCGTAACAATTGGTCAAAAGACAAAGGATGGGGAACTAAGGAAACTTCTGGGGGTTTTCCTTTTACAAGGGAAAAACCATACATTTTGGAATTTGTAGCGGCGCAATACAATACAATAATCGTAAGCACTCAATTAACACTTCAATGTGTTAATCTTTCGTAGATCAATGTTAATAATAAACGCTTTGCTGCTTTTGCTCGTGCTGATCTGAGTAAAATTACTCAATTATATATTGCTGGGATAAACACAATTAAACTCCATTCTTTAACTTTGTGTCCCAATCAAGTTGTAACGACTGTACAGCCAACAACTCCCACAAAGCCTATAACAACCATAGCTCCCACAACGCTTTTTCAATATTGTCATAAACAACCTGTTATTAGAGACTTGGTAGTTAAAATTTTTATTGTCTTATCAAACGAAAATAAAATCTGGATATTAAGAAAATACCATCAGTAGTCAACCTAATAGCTCATGGATTGGATAGAGGCTTTGCACCACCTCAGCGTATTATAGTTTATGGGACACCCATATGGATACCTGAACCATTACGCTTTGAAGTTAACTTTGCTGATGATGGTAAAATATATGATACTGCTAACACTCTATTACACTTCAATCCACGCTTTTATGAAAATCGAGTAAGTGAATATCAAAACCCCTTCGATTCATAAATCCTTCGAGTAATCTCACCGAGCTGAGTTGTCGATACCACTCACACCGAGATATAAGACCCAGAAAATTGAAAAAGGGGACGAAGCTGATTTTTGGGGCAAAAATTCGATTATACAAATGATAGCTCATCCAAAGAGCTCGGGGAGCTGCATAGAATGACAACAAAATGAGGTTAACCAGTTGATCTTGAACAATTTACGATCAATTGAATTTTCGCCTTAAAAACTGTTTTTGTGCTGGTGCTGAGGGTACCACTATTCTGCAAAATGTAATTGAGTCAATTATTAATTTAAACAGCTTCAATTTCCGCCCCCTTCAAGTTTTAATTAAGACGAGCATAAGAAACAACTAAAGTTGTCTGAATATTTTAAAAATATTTAAGGTTGTTCGCGACACTTGGATAAAAGGCAAAGGATGGATAAAACAAGAGACTGTAGGAGGCTTCCCATTCACACTTGGCCAACCATTCGTATTAGATTTTCAAGCTGCATGGGGAAATCAAATAGCTGTAATTATTTAATAATTAAATATTTTGCTATTTTTTCCTACAGAGGCGGGTCGGAATTCCTATTTCCGACGTTTTTTTCCTTCCGATTTCCGAAAAAATTTTGATTTCCGATTTTCGAGTTCCGACTTTTGAGCCAGTTCCGATTTCCGGCTCTTCCGATTTACAACACCTCGGAATGTCCGACCCACCTCTAGTAGTTTCCTGGACTATCCCAGGTATGAGAAGAATGAATCCATCTCAATTGGGGCACTAAAAGTTTTTCAAATTTCAGGTATTTGTCAACGAAAAGCACTTTGTAAATTTTGGACGATACGACTTGAGTCGAGTAAGTCAATTGGAGATTAAAGGGGCAATCAAAGTACAATATCTTATAATGTGCAACTAATGAGAGATTTCTGATTTTTCAACGAAAAGTCATTATTGAATGGTGAATGTGATATAAAATATATTTTTAAATTGTATTTTTGATGCTGTAGAGTAAAGCTTGAAATTTAAAGTTCAAAATGTTTATTAATAAAAGTGCAGGTAATCTCTCCAAATGTCAGCAAAAAATTAACTTTGAGTGATCATTTATTCCCATAAAGATTTTATGGGATTTTATTTTCCCACTTACCCTCTCCAACCAAAAAATTTTGAAGCTTTTCCTTCCCCACCGACCTCTCTATCATCCTAAACCTTTTGAAGCCTTTTCTATTGCCCACCCAAAGCTTTTTGAGGCTTTTGCTAATATGTAAATTTTTCCTTTCCTTTTCTTTTCAAAATCCTTTTCCTTTATTCTTGCCGAATAAACCATCTTCCTAGCAAAATGATGTATGTATTTCTTTGTTTTTCTAATTTTTTCTGCCGATACCGTTCAAAGGATTTTCCTCCCACATTCTTCCCTATTTATTATTTAGATGATATATTTATAAAAATAAGATTTATGCAAATTTTTATTTTTTTGTTTTTATTATAATATTTTCTTAATAATTTAATTAAATTTTATATTTTTTAACACATTTATTTTCCCTTTTTAATAGATGATCCCCTCCTATTGCCAGGGTTCTTAATTCTTAAGGGCCATTCTACCCTAAGGATTTCCACTATTTTTGACTTTTCACTCTTTCTTTCTAATTTCTACATATATTTATCATTTTTTAATATTTTTAAATTTTTTTGGTATTTTGTAATAAAAATGGGGGAAAGGAAAAAGTTTTTAGAGAAAAATAAATAAAATAAGAGTCAAAGAACATTGTTTTATTTTACTTGTTTTATTACTGACCATCCCTTTTATTTTTCTGTTCATCGACCAACTTTTTTCCTTTATTGAATTAGTGTAGGTTTTTTAAATTTTAGTTATTTAATTCCCCTTTTTTACTGTAAAGGAGTGATTTACTGAAGGGCATCTAAGTTTGTTTATCCTGGGTGTAAATAGCTTGGCTTCATTTTTTGAGCGCAAGAGAAGAAAGAACTTATAGTTTTAGAGTAAAGATCTTTTTACCAAATTTAAGGTTAAGAAAGGGGCTGCGTCGCGGAAATAAAATAATTACTGCAAACTATTGCCAGGAAATCAAGAATTCTCGGGGTAAAGAATTCTCGGGGGTACCCTTATAAGGCTTAACCAAAAAAAGGCATCCAAGAATTAATTCCCTTCTTTAAGTCACAGGCAATAATCTAAAATACGACCTCCCGTTACTTTTAAATAAGACGTTTGGTGAATTTTTTGCGCTTAGATTTTTCGAACATGTCGTTTTCTAGTTTCGAGTTTGTGGCTTTCGAGTCGTGCCATACGTGTCTTTTTCGAGTTAAATATTCTTGGCTCGCTCGATTTTTTGAAGCTCGAGTTGAGCGAGCTGCTAAGGGGGTCTGTAAGGGTCTAAGGTGGTCTAAGGGCTGTCCGCAACTGCGGATTGCGGCTGTGGAAAATTTTTTTCAATTGTGGACAGCCCTGGCTTCCACTTAAAATAATAATGGATATCCTCAAATTTCAAATTTTTATTTTCAGAAAATAAATTTATTTAGATTATTCAAAATGCATTTTCTTTCGCCTGAAGTTCAACTAGATATATTTAAATGGTTAACTTTCAAACAATTAATATCTATTCAACAGACAAATAGTTTCTATAAAATTTTTCTGAATAAATATGAGGACAAATTGGCACGGAAAAGATTTGATAAACTTGAAATTGTAATTATTTTTATGAGTATTTTCCAACAATTTTTGACTAATTTAGCTTTACGGCAACGATGGCAGTTCAAGTTATTATGAATTTTTCGAACCTGACCCCTCACTCTATGAATTTCAATTGAGTGAACAAGTCGAGAAAAAGGTGAAAATTAATATTAAGTATTTTATAATAACCAAATTTTAGTGGAAATGTGCAATAGAAAACTCAATTCCAATGTTTTTAAGTGATTTCGATACAGACATGAATATTGCTGTTTGCGAATTGGGACAAGATAGTTATCACGAAGGTAGTTCTGCTATTATTTGACTAGCGGATTGCGTTCCGGGGTTTTTGTAGTTTCGAATTGCGTTTGCGAATTTTTAAAAAGAAATTGAGGGTTGCGGAATCTTTTCAATTGCGTGCAGTCTTGCTTGGAACCTGTAATTCTCCAGTTGTAGAGTTACAATCCCCCTCCTTTTTTCCCTTCGACCATTTGAGTGTTTTGTTTGACATATAATTTATTATCATTCGAAAGAGTCTTCAATCTTGGTCCCCTCCCGAAAATCGAAAATTTCAGACGTTTTTCTTGTGCCTAGATCCCTATTTCCTGGAATCGCGAATTTTGGTTTTTTGTCAGCAGGATTCCTGATTCTCAACAAAACTAATAAGCTAAATCCTCGCTGGTAAAACTTTCAGAGGGAATAAAATAAACGGTTACAACTTTGTCCACTTAAATCAGATTTCGTTGATTTTAATGTCACCCGACTTTGCTTGGAGGGCTCTCTCAAATGATATATATTTTGCCATAAAATGAGAGAAAATAGAAAGGAGAAAAGGGGCTTCCAAACAATTACACAAAATTGGATTGCGGTAGCGTGAAGTTCTCACATTTCCGGAGAACTACTTAATATAACATTTAATATGTAGAATCCATTTTATTTAGAGTCATATTATTCTCAATTACCAAATTTGCCAAAAAATGTTGAGGATATGAAAATTGCTCGTTATATACTTGAACAACTTTTTAATTGTTGTTTTGAATTTGTTCAGTTAGATAAAGTTATATTTAATCCTCAAATGATTAAATTATTATTTGATGAAAACAAAGCAAATATGCCTTTACTCATTCATTCTCAAAGTGCTCATCTATTTGTTTTGACTAAATCTGATAATTGTTTATTGGAATTTATTTTAAATCATCTGATTTCTAAAGAATTTACTGTGGATTTTTGGAAATTCAACAGAAGAATGCAAAATTTGAATATTTTATTTAAAATTTTGACAACTGGAGAAGATAAATTTGGAATAGTTTCATGTCGACATGTTCCGTTACAATTTTATAATGATATTATAAAGGTGAGGGTTAATGATTATTTGTGTATATTTTTTAAAAATCTTTGCGGGACGGGATCCCACGGGATCAATCCCGCAAAATCCCGCACTCCGCAAAATCCCGCAAATCGGAAAAAGTGCGGGAGCGGTATGCCGCAAAATCCCGCGCGGGATCCCGTCCCGCGCCGGTCTCTAGTATAAATATGTGGTTTTTAGAAAAATTTCAATTAGAGACCGGATTGAAAAGGTCACACGAGAATCGTACAAGACATTTCAAAAAATCTCGATCTAATAATCGTGTTTTTTGTTCGAGATCTTGTCTCGATCAGAGGCGGGGGCATTGCGTTTTTTGCAATTGTTTCTTGCACTTGCCCCTAGTTTCTATCCGGGCTCTAATTTCTTTATTAAAAAAAAGAATTTATTTATTTTAGCATATAGAAACAGCAGAAAATATTTCGAAAATGGTGAAGGAAATTAGATTTGGTGATATTCGTGGAACTCTTAATTTAATCCAAAGTGCAGAAAATGTTGAAAAAAAAGTTGGAGACAAAAATTTAAAATCAACAAAATATCAACTTTCAAATAAACACAATCCAGAAATGAAGTTTTGTGTTTATACCCAAGAGGTCCAAATTACTTATGGTCGGCCAAGTAATGATGTGGAAATTAAAAGAATGAATTGATAAATTAATTTGATATGCATACATAAGCGTTGCTTTTATTTATTTAAAATTTGTTTTTGAATGGCAAGTAAAAATTTGTTAAAAATTTATAGACAATGTTTTTTAGATCCTTTATCACATAAAAACAGTAGTAAACAGTAGAGTTTGACCCCTACCCCGCCCCGAAACAATTCGAAAACCCCGTACCCCGACATACCCGCCCCCGAGCGTTCGGGGTCAAACCCTAGTAAACTGTCTTATGCAGGCGATTTTTTATTTTCCAGCAGCTAAGGCACATAAACTAACGGTGGAATTTTTAGATAACTAGGGGAAAGGGTACATAAGAAAGAAATTTTTCTGCTTACAGCCTTCCAAAATTCTCAAAATTATCGCCTGGCGCTGAAAAATTCGAAATTGAATATGACTAGATCTACAATAAAAGGATTTCGGGCTTAGTTATTAAGGGAAATTAATTAAAATAAATAGTCGAGCAACCCATGATCATTCGTATTTGTCTTAATCTAATCTAAATATTTTAAAATATCAATAAGGAAGTTTCAAAATTATTAACAACAAAACGTGTTTATGGAACTAGAATTTAAAAAATAATGTTTCCTTGCAAACAATAAATAAACAGTCTTCTTCCTCATAAAATGGCTAAATATCTGCTTCCTCATACATAGATGACAACTAAGAGCAAACAATGTAAATTGAAAAAATATCTGTTCTACCAAATAAAAATTTTTCTCGTTTAAACAATTATCGATATAGAAAGTTTTGATTTAACTTGTATGGTTGAGATGGGGCAAATTTTGTTTGATAATATTTGTTTATGAATAATCGTGGCCACAAAAAATTACAAACCGTTGTCAGCTGTCTGAATGGTTTTGATGAAGGAAATGAATGACACTAAACATGTAAACAACATTAGTGATAAAATCCAGCATATAAAGGATAACTGGATTCAAGCAATTATTACATTATATTAAAATTTAAATAGCTTCAATAATGAAGTTGACAACACTTCTTTTGTTAATAATATGTACGAGCTTTATGATAACTACAATCGAGACGGCAACCTGCAACAATCCGATTATCTATCATAATTTGGTAAGGATAGGAGAAAGGGGATTCAGCTAGGCATTCAAAACGTTGAGAGTTTAAAATTTAGTATGAGAGAATGAGCATCTCAGTAGCTACTTTCATAAAAAAAGAACTTTGCAATAACTTCTAATAGGCCAAAAGATCGATGCCTGTCCTGTTACAAAACTAATTTCTTTTACATTTTTAAACCCATGTCTGATTAAATAATTTGAAAAAATTTTTAAGAATGCTCCAGAAACGTTTAATTTTACACGACTAGGATTTAGAAGAGGATTTTTGCCAAACAAGAGTATTGAAATTATTGGTATAGTTCTTGCAAACCCAGACCTATTTGTGGTTAATTTGTTCGAAGATGGTGCGATGTACCAAACTGCTGACAATCCATTCCATTTCAAACCACTCTTCCGATACAATCCGACTCGGGTAATTTCATGATTTCATTATATTTGAGGTTATTTATGTATTTGAGGTTGTTCGTAACAATGGATAAAAAACCGAGGGTGGGGACCTGAGGAAACTTCTGGTGGTTTTCCTTTTAAAGCTGGCCAAACTTTCATTTTGGAATTTGTTGCTGCACCAAAAAATACAATAATTGTAATTATATATTAAATTTTACCTTAATTTGTAAAAATTTTCATAGATCAATATAAATAATGAACTTTTTGCAACCTTCTCTCGCGTGGATTTGAGTAAAATTAGTCAATTATATATTAATGGAACAAACACAATTAGAATTTACAAGTTGACATTGTGTCCTACTCGAGTTTTAACGACTACAACAGTAAAGCCAACAACAACCACAACAAAAAAACCAACAGCCCCAACACCCACAAATCCAATAACTACAAAAGAAGAGCCGACCACCACAAAAGAGACCACTACAACCACAACAAAAGAACCTACAACCACCACAATAAAAAAACCGACAACTACAACAGAACCTACAACAACAACAGAGGAACCGACTACGACACCTCTTTCAACCTGTCCCTATCCTATCGTTATAGCGAATCCGGTATTTTTAATACCGGATTTATTCTAATAGAACGACATGTCGTTTTAATTTTCAACCTTTTTCTAGAGTGGTTATACTATTAAAGACTGTCGTTATAATAGAGACTGACGTTTTAAATTTCAACCCTTTTTATAAAATATTTCATAAAAATTCACAAAAAATTTGGACTATAATTCAATGGATATATCAATCAGAGTTCAAACCCGGACCGGATTAGAAGCGTTGCAGTTGACTGACAATGAGTCCATATACCTATATAGATTAGGAGTGATTAAGAGGGCTTGTAGATTACAGGGATATCGGGGGATTTTTGGGATTAACGAAGATTAGGCCATTAACTACTCAGTGACTTTTAGAGATATCGGCAGATATATGCCGATTGGTGGGACTAAGTGGGTTTGAGCGATATCAGTGTTTTGGAAAAATATCGAGTGATTTTTGAGTAGAGAGAAGTTGATAACACTTTGTCAATAATATGTGCGAGCTTTATGTTAACTACAATCGAGATGGTAACATGCAATACTGCGATTATTTATAAAAATTTGGTAAGACAATGGGTACGCATGCTTAAGCTAAGATTTAAGAGAGTTATAGAACGACACGGTACCTCAAATGGCGTTAGAGCCTCTGAGGGCTTTTGTGATACGATGCCTGCCTTCTGGAATACTTTTATTTGACTCTTACTTTCTTGTCTATATCTGCTTAAATAATTTTTTTTAATTTTTAAGAAGCTTCCAACAACAATTGATCTTGTAAAGATAGGATTTGGAAAAGGATTTTTGCCAAACAAATATATTGAAATTAGTGGTGTGGTTCTTGAAAAGCCAAGCGATTTTACGGTTACTCTGTTTGAGGATGGCGAGCAGTTCAGAACTGCTGACGTTCCATTTATTTTAAATTCATTCCACTTCGGCGGCCTAACCAATCCACCTGCAGTAATTTAATAATTAAAATTGTTTTTTATATCCACATTTATCTTAGGTTTTTCGTAACAATTGGTCAAAAGACAAAGGATGGGGAACTTCGGAAAAGTCTGGCGGTTTTCCTTTTAAAGCTGGCCAACCATTCATTTTGGAATTTGTTGCAGCGCCAAACAACACAATAATTGTAATTATTTATTCAACTTTTACCTCAATTTGTTAATTTTTGTAGATCAATATCAATAATAAACCTTTTGCAACTTTCTCACGTGGGGATTTGAGTAAAATCAGTCAATTATATATTGATGGGGTAATCACAATTCGAGTTGACTCTTTGGTTTTGTGCCCCGATCAAATTTTAACGACTACAACAGAAAAACCTACCACAACCACAGAAGAGCCGACAACTACAACGGAGGAATCAACTACCACAACGGAGGAACCAACTACCACAACTACGGAAGAACCTACAACCACCACTACGGAAGAATCGACTACGACAACAGAAGAGCCGACCACTACAACAGAGGAACCAACTACAACCCCTCTTCCAACCTGTCCCTATCCTATCGTTATAGCGTATCCGGTAAAGCAATTATTGTTTAAGTAGAGGGCTATAGGAGCTGGGCTATAGCTATTTCTCTCCTTTAGCAGTGCAAAAGGTTATTCGGCGGCTGGGAGCGAACGAGCATTTTCAGTAGTGATTTTCGGGTATCCCGATCACTTATCCCGATCCCGACTACCTGGTCGCGCGCCTACTTGGACTGTACCCTCTTTTATAATTTAAGGAAATACCAGCAACAATAGATCTTTTGAAGCAAGGATTTGAAGGCGGTTTTGCTCCACCTAAGCGTATTATATTTGTTGGTTCTCCTACTAATACAACTGACCGTTTTATGATCAATTTGTATAGTGATGGGGTGCCAGATTTAACTGCTACAACAGTATTCCACTTCAATCCGAGATTTAAAGAAAAGCAGGTGAATATAGAACACCTCGAGGGAATTTAAGATAAATATTTATACAAGGTTGTAAGAAATACATGGTCACCAATCACAGGATGGGGAAAAGAAGAACGCTATGGAGGATTTCCTTTTAAATTGGGAGAACCGTTCGTTTTGGAATTTATTGCGGCAGAAAAAAACACTATAATTGTAATTACGATAGGGATGTTCCTCGATATATTATTTTTTAGGTTCATGTCGATTACAAACCATTTGTAACATTTTCACGGGATGATTTAAGTAAATTGAGCTTATTGGAGGTTAAGCTGGCAGTTGAGCTTAGCTCTGTGGTTTTATGTCATGATAAAGCGATAACCACTACAATTGAACCCACCCCTACGACAAAGCAATACACAACTACTACAACGGAGGAGCCAACAACGACAACTGAAGAATCAACAACAACGACCGAAGAACCAACAACAATAACAGAAGAACCGACCACCACAACCAAGGAACCAACAACTACAACGGAGGAACCTACTACCAAGACAGTGAAACCAACAACTACAACAACAGAAGGACCGACCACCACAACAAAACCTCCTCCATACTGTGCAGGGCAAATTGTCGTAAATAATCCGGTTGGAGTATTTTTATAAGTGTTTGAACTAAACAACTTTATAAAACTTCAGAAAATACCGGCAACAATCGACTTTGTGAAGTTTGGAACAGGCTTTGCACCACCAAAGCGCATTATAATTCGTGGAACACCTTTAGCACAACCTAGTTATTTTAACATCCACATTGCTGAACCTGGTAAATTGTTTGTAAACGCTAGTGTGCTATTCCACATGAGTCCACGTTTTGGTCAAAAACAGGTAAAAGACTTAAAGGGGAATCCTTACATTCTTAAATCTGAACTCTAGGTCATACGCAACACATGGATGGTAGGCCAAGGCTGGGGACGAGAAGAGCGTTCTGGAGGCTTTCCTTTTAAAGTTGGAGAACCATTTGAGTTGGAATTAATTTTTGAACCAAAAAATATAATTAATGTAATTAATTTTGTTAAAATATTTGATTAATTTGTAAAATTTTTAGGTTAATGTAAACAAAAGATTTTTCACCAGCTTTTCACGATACGATTTAAGTAAAATTAGTCAAATGGTGATTGACGCGGGAATCCAATTGAACTCTGTTACTCTATGTCCTGAAATAGAACCAACTACTACAACTAAGAAACCAACTACACTTCTACCAACCACAATTCCTACAAAACCTCCACCATTCTGTCCCGAACAAATTGTTTTAAGCAATTTGGTTAGAGTATTTTTTAATTAAAATAACTTAAACATCTTTAAAAATTAAGCCAATACCATCAATAATCAACTTATTAGCTCAAGGATTTGGAAAAGGCTTCGGACCACCAAAGCGCATTATAATTTATGGGACACCTACTGCACGAACACGCTTTATCATTAACCTGGCTGAGGATGGTGTGCCTGAATTAACTGGTGACATCCCATTTCACTTTAGTCCTACCTTTATTCAAAATGATGTAAGTGAATAGGCTAGGGGTTTGGTAATGTTAATACTAAGGGTCTGGCAGTTAATATTCTTAAGGATTTATATTCTCAATTGAGACAGGCATTAAATAAATAGAGAAACCACCGGGCTGGATTCGAACCTGCAACCTCGTAGTTATTGTTATGCCCTTGCGCTCACCACATATAAGAGCACTGAGCTACCGGGGCACTGACTAATGCTGTTGTTTGTCTAATTTCCTTATATATTTAAGGTTATTCGAGACACATGGGTAAAAGGTAAAGGATGGATAAGAACAGAGCGTTCAGGAGGCCTTCCATTCGCAGTTGGTCGACCATTCGTACTTGAATTCAGAGCAGCACCGAGAAATACAATACATGTAATTATATAAGGATCCTTTTAATGATAAAAAATTTATTTCAGATATATGTCGACAACAAATCTTTTGCCACCTTTACACGATACGATTTGGGTAAAATTAGTCAACTGGAGATTAAGCTGGCAGTTAGAGTAAGCTCTGTTATTCTGTGCAAGTAAAGAGATTTCTGATTAAATATTGGAATTTTGTGATACTAAAAATATTTCTATTTTGAATGTTTACTGCTGTCGAATAAAGCAATGTTGAGTTAACAATTTTTATCAATAAAAATCAAAAGGCGATATACTCGCCAATACAGTCAGACTTTGAACTTTTATCCCCAAAAGTATATATTTACAAGGATTAATAATTTTGAATTTTAAAATAGTGAACTCTAATGTACAAATTAGATTTTCTACATTTCAGAGTAATTAAATAAAAAATGACAAGGACTAATGTTTAAAAATCCTGGGAAATCCCATGATAAACGGATCCGTACCAAATTGCCCTGATATCCGAATTCGATTCAAAATCTCCGGATGTCCCGATCTGGAATCGAACTTTGCATTAATGCAGTGACATAGTTCAGTGATGGAAAAACTATTTACAAATTTATATTCTTTAAATTTTTAGTTAATTACGAATTTAACGAATTTTAAGTGGAGAAGCTATTCCACTTTTCTCTACGAAGCTATCTTTAAACGCAAGTGATTGGAGTTTTACTAAGAATTTTTAACGGATTGATTTACTTTTCATCAAAAAAAATATTTATAAATTTTAGATAGGTATCAGGGTGGCCTTTTCCAAACCACTAAAATAGGGCGCAGGTACATAGGGAAAAAATAGGGCGAAATCGGTCAAAAGTAGGGTCGCGCAACCTTCTATGGTCGCGCAACCCTCTTCTGTTATTGATGCCCAGAACTATACCACGGGCGTCGACCACGACCACGTCAAGATGACTCGTCGACCACGACTACGTCAAGATGACTGTCGTTGACCACGACCTCGGTCGTCGACCATGTCAAGATGACTGTCGTTGACCACGACCATGTCAAGATGACCGTCGTCGACCACGACCACGGTCGTCGACCACGTCACGATGACTGTCGTTGACCACGACCACGTCAAGACGACTCGTCGACCACGACTACGTCAAGATGACTGTCGTTGACCACGGCCATGTCAAGATGACCGTCATCGACCACGACCACGGTCGTCGACCACGACCACGTCACGATGACTGTCGCCGACCACGACCACGTCAAGATGACTGTCGCCGACCACGACCTCGGTCGTCGACCACGACCATGTCAAGATGACTGTCGTTGACCACGACCACGTCAAGACGACTCGTCGACCACGACTACGTCAAGATGACTGTCGTTGACCACGGCCATGTCAAGATGACCGTCGTCGACCACGACCACGTCACGATGACTGTCGCCGACCACGACCACGTCAAGATGACTGTCGCCGACCACGACCTCGGTCGTCGACCACGACCATGTCAAGATGACTGTCGTTGACCACGACCATGTCAAGATGACCGTCGTCGACCACGACCACGGTCGTCGACCACGACCACGGTCGTCGACCACGTCACGATGACTGTCTTTGACCACGACCACGTCAAGATGACTGTCGCCGACCACGACCTCGGTCGTCGACCACGACCATGTCAAGATGACCGTCGTCGACCACGACCACGGTCGTCGACCACGTCACGATGACTGTCGTTGACCACGACCACGTCAAGACGACTCGTCGACCACGACTACGTCAAGATGACTGTCGTTGACCACGGCCATGTCAAGATGACCGTCATCGACCACGACCACGGTCGTCGACCACGACCACGTCACGATGACTGTCGCCGACCACGACCACGTCAAGATGACTGTCGCCGACCACGACCTCGGTCGTCGACCACGACCATGTCAAGATGACTGTCGTTGACCACGACCACGTCAAGACGACTCGTCGACCACGACTACGTCAAGATGACTGTCGTTGACCACGGCCATGTCAAGATGACCGTCGTCGACCACGACCACGTCACGATGACTGTCGCCGACCACGACCACGTCAAGATGACTGTCGCCGACCACGACCTCGGTCGTCGACCACGACCATGTCAAGATGACTGTCGTTGACCACGACCATGTCAAGATGACCGTCGTCGACCACGACCACGGTCGTCGACCACGACCACGGTCGTCGACCACGTCACGATGAATGTCTTTGACCACGACCACGTCAAGATGACTGTCGTTGACCACGGCCATGTCAAGATGACCGTCATCGACCACGACCACGGTCGTCGACCACGACCACGTCACGATGACTGTCGCCGACCACGACCACGTCAAGATGACTGTCGCCGACCACGACCTCGGTCGTCGACCACGACCATGTCAAGATGACTGTCGTTGACCACGACCACGTCAAGACGACTCGTCGACCACGACTACGTCAAGATGACTGTCGTTGACCACGGCCATGTCAAGATGACCGTCGTCGACCACGACCACGTCACGATGACTGTCGCCGACCACGACCACGTCAAGATGACTGTCGCCGACCACGACCTCGGTCGTCGACCACGACCATGTCAAGATGACTGTCGTTGACCACGACCATGTCAAGATGACCGTCGTCGACCACGACCACGGTCGTCGACCACGACCACGGTCGTCGACCACGTCACGATGAATGTCTTTGACCACGACCACGTCAAGATGACTGTCGCCGACCACGACCTCGGTCGTCGACCATGACCACGTCAAGATGACTGTCGCCGACCACGACCTCGGTCGTCGACCACGACCATGTCAAGATGACTAATATAAAGGACTCAATAGCGAAATTTTACCTACTTATTTTATTCTTTTTCACAAGTTTATTTCCGTTTTCTATCCCTTAATCCTTCTAATCACAACAAATTCATCTTAATCCGAACAAATCCGTCGATGTTCTCCTTAATCTCCACATTTTTCAATATTCTGTGCTTACGTTCAGAGTCAGTTGACCACTATGGGAGGTAATCTTTAGGATATTTGACTACTAGATGATTGATCTCAAAGTAAGTAGTTGACCTTCTGGGACGGACTCGTTCAATACAACAAATTTTCAATTAATGGAGTCTGTTTAATTTAAGGTCAAGGAAGAAGAAAGGCCAATAATATCGAAGTTGGTGTAATTGTCAAGGTTGCAGCTACGAGTAGAAGAAATCTTTTCCATTAGACCCTACGAGATTGAAAAATCGAAGTTGAATATACTGGATCAATAATATCAAGGAGTTCGAGCTTGGCATTAAAAAACAAATCGGTCAGCCTTTCTCCTAATCTAATCTAAATATTTAAAAATATTAATAAGGAAATTTATAAAATATTGCATTAAACGTGTTTATGGAACTAAAATTTAAAAAATTTTTCCTTGCAAATAATAACCAAATAGTCTGCTTCCTCATACATGATAAACAACTTAGAACAAACATTGTAAATTTTAATACAAAAAATATCTGTTCCGTTTAAACTAAACAAAATTTTTTTATCATTAACAAAAATATATCGATATAAAGTTTTTGTTTAACATCGGTTTACAAATGGTTGAGATTGGACAAGTTTTGATTGTTAATATTTGTTTATGAATCTTGATGGCACGAAAAAAATTACGAAACTTTGTCAGCTGTTTGAATGGTTTTGATGAAGGAAGTGAATGAATAATAAACATGTAAACAACTTTAATGCTAAAATCCAGAATATAAATAATGGATGGATTCAAGCAATTATTACATTATATTAAAATTTAAATTTATTTGTTCAACAATGAAGTTGATAATACTTCTTTTGTTAATAATATGTGCGAGCTTTATGGTAACTACAATCGAGACGGCAACTTGCAACAATCCGATTATTTATAATAATTTGGTAAGGATAGGGAAAAGGGGATTTTATTTAAAATGCCTAGACGATGGTGTAGGATCTAGTGAAAGAGATAAAGTATCTTAGTGGCTACTTTAATAAAGAAAGAGCCTAGTAATAACTTTAACATGCTGAGGGATCGATGCCTGCCCTTACAAAACTTTCATTTCTCTTACTTTTTTAACCTATGTACCTATACATAGGTATATGCCTGATTAAATAATATGTACTATTGAAATTTTTAAGAATTTACCAGCAACTATCAATCTTGCACAACTAGCATTTGGAAGAGGATTTTTGCCAAACAAGAGTATTGAAATTAATGGTGTGGTTCTTGCAAACCCAGACCTATTTGTGGTTAATTTGTTCGAAGATGGAGTGATGCAGCAAACTGCTGACATTCCATTCCATTGCAAACCGCTCTTTCGATTCAATCCGACTCGGGTAATTTGGAAATTAAGATTGGAATTTATTGAAGTTTATTTGAGGTTGTTCGTAACAATTGGATAAAAAACCGAGGATGGGGACCTGAGGAAACGTCTGGTGGTTTTCCATTCAGGGCTGGTCAGCCATTCGTTTTGGAATTTGTTACAGATTTAAAAAATACAATAATTGTAAATACATATTCAACTTTCATCTTAATCTATCTATTTTTCATAGATCAATGTCAATAATAAACGTTTTGCAACTTTCACTCGTGTGGATTTGAGTAAAATTAGTCAATTATATATTGATGGGAGAGGAACAATTACAGTTAATTCTTTGACATTGTGTCCCAATCCAGTTATAACGACTACAACAGCAAAGCCAACAACCACAACAGAAGAACCTACGACGACAACAGAAGAACCTACCACTACAACTGCAGAACCGACCACCACAACAGAGGAACCAACTACTACAACAGAGAAACCTACAACCACAACTGTAGAACCGACTACGACACCTCTTCCAACCTGTCCCTATCCTATCGTTATAGCATATCCGGTATTTTTGCTTAAGATCTTAGGTTCTATTAATTGGTACTGAAATTCGGTTAAATCGAGAAATAAAACATGTTTAATACATTATTACAAGTTTTATGTTTATAAAATTTAAGGAAATCCCAGCAACGATCGACCTTTTGAAGCAAGGATTTGGAGAAGGATTTGCTCCACCTAAACGTATTGTATTTGTTGGTTCTCCTACTAATACAACTGACCGTTTTATGATTAATTTGTATAGTGATGGGGTGCCAGATTTTACTGCTACAACAGTGTTCCACTTCAATCCGAGATTTAAAGAAAAGCAGGTGTGTAGGGATAATAACTCAGAAAATTCAATAAAAAATATTTATGTAAGGTTGTACGAAATACATGGTCACCAATCACAGGATGGGGAAAAGAAGAACGCTATGGAGGATTTCCTTTCAGAATTGGAGAACCGTTCGTTTTGGAATTTATTGCGGCAGAAAAAAACACAATAATTGTAATTACGATAGGGATGTTCCTCGATATATTATTTTTTAGGTTCATGTCGATTACAAACCATTTGTAACATTTTCACGGGATGATTTGAGTAAATTGAGCTTATTGGAGGTTAAGCTGGCAGTTGAGCTTAGCTCTGTGGTTTTATGTCATGATAAACCGATAACCACTACAATTGAACCTACCACCACAACAGAAGAACCTACAACAACAACAGAAGAGCCAACAACCACTACGGAAGAACCAACCACTACAACGGAGGAACCTACCACCACAACCGAAGAACCTACTACTACTACAACAGAGAAACCAACAACGACAACCCCAACAACGAAACCCCCACCAACTACAACAAAGAAACCGCCTACTCCAACAACCAAAAAGCATATACCAACCACACCAATTCCTCAGTATTGCCCGAAACCAATAGTTTTTAATAACTTGGTAAATTAATTCTCTGCTTCTGGATTTATTTATATAATTAAGAAAATACCATCAATAATCAACCTTGTAGCTCAAGGATTTGGAAGAGGCTTTGCACCTCCAAAGCGTATTATAATTCTTGGAACACCTACTGCACGAACACGCTTTGACATTAACTTGGCTGAGGATGGTGTGCCTGAAAAAACTGCTAACATTTTATTCCACTGCAATCCACGCTTTACTGAAAATCGAGTAAATTAAAAGACTTGAATATCATTAAGACGAGTGTTCTCTAAAATTCTAATATATTTAAGGTTGTTCGCGACACTTGGATAAGAGGCAAAGGATGGATAAAACAAGAGCTTACAGGAGGTATCCCATTTACTGTTGGTCAATCATTTGTATTGGAATTTAGGGCAGCACCAAAAAATACAATAAACGTATAATTAAGTTAAATTTTTAATTATATATAATTTTTATTTCAGGTATTTGTCAACAACAAACCATTCGTAAATTTCGCACGATACGATTTGAGTAAAATTAGTCAATTGGAGATTAAGCAGGCAGTCAAAATAACCTCTGTTATTTTGTGCAAATAAAGAGAGAATTCTGATTAAATATTGAATGATGAATGTGATATTAAAAATATATTGTTAAATTGTAATCTTAATGCAGTAAAATAAAGCATGAAATGTTGAGTTAATGTTTTTCAATCAAATAGGATGGGGCGATAAACGCCCTTAATTCTGGATCGTTTTTAAAAGTCGGCGTTATTTATGGTGGATGGCGCGCCAAAATTTTGTGACCCTACTGATGGAAATTTTTAAATAAATGGAGGTAGTGATGATCATAAAAGTGATTTTTTCCTTCAGCCTTCCTAAATTTCCTTCCAGGTTCCGACTTGGACTTACAAAATTATCAAAATTTTCGTCTGTGCCGCTGAAAACTTAGTATTATAAACTTATTGTTAGAATCTAGTGTCAGACTCCGCAAATTTATTATATTGGACAAATATATACAAATTTGTTAAACTACATATTTAATATATTCATAATTTAAATTGACTATTAAAAATTGAAAGTTGAAAGTTGAGAATCAAAATAATTGAATAAATAAGTCTAAAATTATAGTTTCTATATTCAAATGAGAAGCAATAAAAGAATTGTTTCGGATGATATTGAAGATTGTCTGGGGACTTCCAGTCAGAACATGGCTCAAAATCAAGCTGAATTGGGAAAGACAAACAAGATGAAGGTATATAAGATGATGATTATTTATTTGAAAAAATGAAAATTATTTGAGCATTGTCTTTCTACGAAACTAGCAAAAGAATGCTGGAATGTAAGATTTGTACATAATACTACTATTATTTTCAATTTATGCAATATTTCAACATGTTTTGTTAGTTTTTTACACATTCTCCGCTAAATATTTATATGTTTTTGATTGTTTTTTGTTGCAAGTCCAAAGGCGAGCTCCTTCGCTAGGATTTTATAAAAACTGAAATAAACGGTTTAATTAAAGAATATCGTTTATGGAATTTTTTTCAGGCAAAAATAATTTTTATTTTAGCTTAACGAAAAAGAAACACGGCTCTATTAACGTTTAAAAGGCAAAAAAAGATTAGTATACTAAAATTTAAAAAATTATGTGGATGATTTTGCTGTGGTCGAACGTATTTAATTTTCGCTTTGGTCCGTAAAATTTTTAACTGAATAAACAAATAAATTTTCTAAACAAAAATTAAATAGCAGAAATTTGAGTGATATGTACCAACCGTAGCCTGTATGATTGGATTTAATCAATGTTAATTAACTTTGAAATTTTCTCTTTCCTTTTTGTGAATTAATATTCCACAAATAAAATTTTATTTAAAAAACTTAAATTCATTTAAAACAGCTAATTAAACAAACAAAAATTTAAATGAAAGAGAAAATTAATCCAAAAATGATAGTCAAGGTATTTACTTTCCTTTTTTCAGCGCCGCAGACGACAATTTTGAAAATTTTGGAAGGTCAAGGAGATAGATTTCTTCAATTTTTGTCCTCAGATTGGATATATTTTTGCGTTAATTTCGTCAAAAATAACGCAATGCCGCTAACCCCTGTCCCTAATTATCTAATTTCCAAATGTGTACTCCCCAAAATCTTCGGGAGCTTTCTGTACATGTCAGGGATGTCACTGGCTGAGAAAAAGTCGGGTCGGGTTTCGGATCGGGTTTCGGGTAACCCGTGACATCCCTGGTACATGTATAGGAAAGAACTTGGGAGGAAAAATAGGGTCTGTAAACGAAAATATTGCCATAAATTCGATGTTTGTATTGGGGGCAAATTGCTTTCATTAATATTTATTGACAAACAATGTGAATTCAACATTGCTTTATTCCATAGCATTAAGCGTATAAAATATAAATTGTATTTTTAATATCACAAACATATATAAAATATTTAATCAAAATCTCTTTTTGCACATGATAAGATATTTTACTACGATTGCCCCTTTAATCTCCAATTGAGTTATTTTACTCAAGTCGTTTCGGTTTAAAGTTAAAACTAGATTTCTGTCGACTAATATCTGAAATTAAAATTATATCATTGAAAACTTCAGAGTATTTCTGTATTAATATACTTTTTATTTCAAAGATTTCTTATAAAAACTACTTTAATTTAATTACATCTATTCCATTTTTATCTGCTGTTCTAAATCCCAATTCGAATGATTGGCCAACTTTGAATGGAAGGACTTCTGTGCTCTCTTTTCCTATCCATCCTGTACCTCTTACCCAAGTGTCAGTAATAACCTTAAATATATAATTAATTTAGGCAAACAAAAATTGCTTTAACTAACAATTCTAATGCCTGTACTTACCTTCTTTTGAGAAAAGTCTGCACTTAAGTGAAATGGAATGTCGGCAGTTTCTTCAGGCACACCCTCCTCAACCAAGCTAATGTCAAAGCGTGTTGGTGCAACAGGTGTCCCAAAAATTATAATATGCTTTGGATATGTAAATCCTATTCCCAATCCTTGATCTACAAGGTTAATTATTGATGGAATTGTCTTAAATTTTTAAAGATTTTTAGTTATTTTAATTCTCTATACTCTAACCAAATTCTTTAATTCAATCTGTTCGGGACAGAATTGGGGAGGTCTTGGAGGAGTTGTGGTTGGTAGGTGTTTAGTACACAAAATCAAAGAGTTGATATTAATTTGGTCAGCCCCAGAAATATATAAGTGACTAATTTTACTCAAATCCACACGACTTTAATATAGTACGTGGGTGCCGGCTTTAATATACAAATTTTATACCATTCGAACGAGCTCGTCGAGCTGAGTGAATGCCACCAAAATTAGCCCGAGGAAAAATTTTTGAACCGAGTTATAGGTCCCTGAAATTAGAAAAATCATAGGGGACAAAGTTATGACTAGAGCCCGGACCGTACCGTACTACGGCCGTATTTTATCGGTATTTATCGGTATTCCGTATCGGTAATACGGTACGGAATACGGAACGGTACGAAATTCCGCGCTCTAGTTATGACAAACGATCATAACTTTGTCAAATCAAGTCAGATTTTGTTGATTTTGGTGTCATTCGACCATTTCGACGAGCTCTTTAGAATGAGCTATTATTTTCATATTCGAATTTTTCACCCCAAAATAGACCTTGCTCCCCCCTATGATTTTTCAAATTTCAGGGACCTATAACTCAGTTCAAAAATTTTTCCTCGGGCTAATTTTGGTGGCATTTGACTCAGCTCGACTAGCTCTTTCGAATGGTATAAAATATGTATAGTAAAGCCTGCACCCACTTACCCAACTTCAGCCGAACCCCAGTAGCTTGCAAACCATTGATTATTGATATAGATCTACAAAAAATAAATTTAAAATAAATAAATTAAGGTAAAAATTGAGTAAATAATTACAATTGTTGTATTTTTTGGCGCTGCAACAAATTTCAAAATAAGTGGTTGGCCAATTTGCAAAGGTGAACGATGGTAATTAACACCTCCCGACCCTCTAGATTTAGACCAACTATTAAGTACAATCTAAAATAAATATTTGGATATAAAAACCAATTTAAATTATTAAATTACCTGTGGACGGATTTGGTGGTGTGACTCGAACCAGAATGGCTCGTCGGCTCTTGGGTAGGTGCCTTCCATCAGATGTACATCAAAAGCTCTGCGCACATTAGTAATTCTACCATTAATTTCAATATATTTGTCTGGTAAAAATCCTTTTCCAAATCCTACTTCTACAAGATCAATTTCTAACGGTAGCTTCTTAAATATATTATTTAATCAGAGGGAGGCTCTACTGGAGTTATGAGTCCAATCGCACTTTATGAGTCCAATTCAAATAATTTTGAATTTTTCTCGGGTTTACAAAGTTGAGGTATGGTAAGATTTGGGATGGAGGCATTATAAGGGATATTGAAGGATTTGAAAGGATATCGATGGGTTTTAAACAATTAGAGTTGATACACTAGTAGAGCGAGAGAATATGATTGATTCCAATTAATTTTGGAAAATTTCCCAACCACTTAAGTCATCTTAATCATTCTCAATCTCCCAAATCCTCGTATTGATCAAATTCTCCTTATCTTCTTAATCCTCCCAAATCTTTCTATATTTCCTGCTAATCCACTTTATCTCATATCATCATAATCCCCCGACACCCATAGCTCTCGTTAATTCTCCTACTAAATATGTCGTGGGCTTTCCTGGATTTGCTAAAGTTAACAAGAATTATTTTTTAAACCTAAGGGTTACACTAGTATACCTAGTTAATCAAAAATAAGATATTAGGCAAATTGTCTTACTGGATTCAATAGAACAATAGGATTGAGACAAGGGTGGGGAGGTGTAGTAGTTGGGGTAACTGTTGGCGTCGTAGGTTTTTTTGTTGTGGTTCTTGGCTTTCGTGTTTTAGTCGTTATAACTTGATTTGGACACAAAGTCAAAGCGTTAACTCGAATTGTGTCAATCCCATCAATATATAATTGACTAATTTTACTCAAATCCACACGAGAGAAATTTGCAAAATGTTCATTATTGATATAAATCTACAAAAAAATTAAGAAATTATGGTAAAAATTGGATAAATAATTAAAATTATTGTATTATTTGGCTCTGCAACAAATTCCAAAATGAATGGTTGGCCAGACTTAAAAGGAAACTCACCATACCTTTCCTCAGGTCCAAATCCTCTGTTTCTTATCCAATTGGTACAAACAACCTCAAGAAAATTCCAATAAAAACCAATTTTAATTATAAAATTACATAAGGTGGATTGCGTCGGAAGACCGGTTTGAAATATAATGGCACGTCAGCAGTTTGGTACATCACTCCATCTTCGAACAAATAAACCACAAATAGGTATGGTTTTGCAAGAACCACACCATTAATTTCAATACTTTTGTTTGGTAAAAATCCTTTTCCAAATGATAGTTGTGTAAGATTTATCGTTACTGGTAAATCCTTAAAAATTTTTAAAAAAATTATTTAATCAGATATATGTAGGTAGTTTTAAAAAATTAAGAGAAATTAAGGTTTTGTAACCGGGCTTCGGGTTTTTAGATGTTATTTCTGCTTGTTTTTTATTAAAGGTGCTATTGAGATACTCTTTCTCTTTCACTGTATCTTAGACCCTCGCTTAAGCGTTTAACGGAACCCTATTGTACTTCTCGCACTTCCCGAACTTCCTTTAGTTCCTGGATAACATTTTTTAAAACTAGGGGGTACACTAGTATAGTTAATTAAAAATAAGATATTAAGCAAATTGTCTTTTACTGGATTAACAATAGGATTGAGACAAGATGGAAAAGGTGTAGTAGTTGGTTCCTCTGTTGGCGCCGTAGGTTCTTCGTTGTATTCTGCCGTCTCGATTGTAGTTACCATAAAGCTCGCATATATTATTAACGAAAAAAGTGTTTTCGACTTCATTGTTGAAGTTAATATATTTAAATTCTATTTTAGTTAGTTGAATACATCATCCTTTATATGCTGAATTTCATCAGTTAAATTGTTTACATGTCTATTGTTCCTCCTTTCCTCATCAAAACCATTCAAACAGCTAATAACGGTTTGTAATTTTTTGTGGCCACGATTATTCATAAACAAATATTAACAAACAAAATTTGCCACATCACAACCATACAAGTTAAATCAAAAATTTTTATATCGATAATTGTTCAAACAAGAAAAATTTTGTTTGGTAGAACAGATATTTTTTGTATTTCCAATTTACAATGTTTGTTCTTACAATTAGTTGTTTATTATGTATGAGGAAGCGAATGTGGATTACCAGTCATAGGGGGTGTTAAATAGTTTTGAATAGAGTTGGCCGGGATCGGGATCCCGGTCGGGATCGGGCGGGATTATCCCGGGTTTTTCGAATCCCGATCCCGATTTTTCTGATCCCGAGACCGAAAGGTGAATCCCGATCTCGGTTTTGGATGATCCCGATCCCGAGTCGGGATCCCGGATCGGGATCGGGATGTGCCTCAGATCCCGATGCAAATCCCGACTTTATAAATTGACTAGAAGTCTGTGAAATAAAGTTAACAGAAGAGGGGAGGCATGAAATTAAGAAAAATTTTCGCCTGCGGCGCAGAAAATGGAAGAATTTGGCATCTTGCATCCAAAATTCTCAAAATTTTCGCCTGCGGCGCAGAAAAGGAGCAAATTTGAACGAAGCTGTCTTTAAAACTTTAACGAAATATTGTGTGATTTGGTGTGATATCGAGCGATCAAGAGGGGAGGGGAGTATCGGTGGATTTGGAGTATAGAAGGATATCGGAGGATTTACAGGGATTAAGTTAGATTTGAAGAGAACATGAATACATTACTTAATCCCTCAGTCTCAGTTTTTATCATCCACATATGAAAGTAACGCACTTAATAGTATAGACTTCAACGCTTAAACTTGAATGCCCTTGGCCTTCCAAAATTAAAAAATATTGACTGCGGCGCTTAAAATGTAAGAAGCCCAATCCCATTTATCCCCCCCCCCCACCGCATTCCTTATCCACACTTAATCCACTGAACCGGAAAGTAAATCATGCGTCTATGTGACTTAAACTCACTATTTCTCCACCGGATTGGAAATTTTTAATTATATTGAGTCGTATGTGAAGAAAATAAAAATTTAAAAATAAAAAAAAATTTTTTTAGTAAATCCCGATCCCGATTTTTCAATCCCGGTCCCGATTCGGGATCGGGATCGGGATCTCCAGTCCAAATCCCGATCCCGATTTCGGCCAATCCCGATCCCGTGTCGGGATCCGGGATCGGGATCACCATTCCCAAATCCCGATCCCGGGTTTTTCTCTAAATCCCGATACCGGCCAACTCTAGTTTTGAACAACTTGTGCTTCATTTTTATCATGTATGATAATGTATTAATATGAGTGAAGGGATATCAAGAGACTCATAAAAATATTTAAAAATATCAATAAGGAAGTTTATAAAATATGTATTAACAAAACGTGTTTAATAAACATTGAAAATTTAAAAAATTGTTTCCTTGCAAATATAAATATGTAAATATCTGCTTCCTCAAACATGAACAAACATTGTAAATTGAAAATATAAAAAATATCTGTTCTACCAAACAAAAATTTTCTCGTTATACATCGAATATATCGAAAAAAATTTGAATTAACATCGTTTTATAAATGTGGACAAATTTTGTTTGTTAATATTCGTTTATGAATAGTTGTTCCACGAAAAATTGTAAATTTTGATGGTGGATATAAATCCCCGGCCCCGGCTCCACCGGAGCCGGGGCTAAGATTTTGAACCACGGAGCCGGTGCCCATTATCTCTTTTTTTAGCGCCGCAGCGAAAATTTTGGAAGGTTAATTGCAAGAATTCTTCAAAAATTTATGGAAGGCCAATAAATTTCTTCATAAATAATGGCCGTCATTAGGGGGTGTAAACACGCGGAAGAGGCCAAAATTGCGGAACGCGGAAGCGGATCCAGCCCTGGTCTGTACTATTTAATATTGCAGAATAAAAACGCCAATTTTTTAAATTTAGAAATCACGCCAACCGCCAAGTTTTTAAAAATTTATAAAGGCCAAGAAAACTAGAGTTGGCAAATTATTTCTGTATATTTTCAAATTAGCCGTTTTTAAAGCTGATATTATCGTTGCTGTCATTTACTATGTATTTTTAATCTTTAATATGTATGTATATTCCTGGCTATTTATGACCGATAATAGTTAATTGATATTTTTATTTTTTTATTTTACGTTTCAAAACCTTAACAATAAATACCTAATTCTTATTCTCGTCTCAAATATAAATTATTTTAACCAAATTTTTGTGAAATTGCCCGAGATTGAGTTTTTAACAGAAACCTAGGCCTATTATGAAAAATCCTAAGGTTATTAATGCACTTGAAATCTCTACATAGACCTACATCCTGAAGACCTATTGACTCCGAAGACATCAAATTTATTAAGGGGTCAGTACTACAGATCTAAAATATCTAAGAGTCCGAGATTGTACACTAAGGTTGTCGGATCCGGATATCCGGATCCGAAAAAAGGCCGGATATCCGGAAATTTTCGGTTCGGATACCGGATCCGGATCCGGATATCCGAAATTTTCGGTTCGGATATCGGATCCGGATCCGGATATCCGAAAATCTCGGTTCGGATATCGGATCCGGATCCGGATATCCGAAAATTTCGGTTCGGATCCTAGAATTTGAAAAAAAGGGTGAAATCTTGCCCATTGGTCTTCCAAAATCCCCAAAATTTTCGCCTGCGGCGCTGAAAATGGAAGAAATCTGGCTTAAGGACCTCCAAAATTCTCAAAATTTTCGCCTGCGGCGCTGAAAAAGTGAATTTTTTTGGCCTAAGGCCTTCTAAAATTCTCAAAATTTTCGCCTGCGGCGCAGGAAATGGAAGAAATCTAGCTTAAGGACCTCCAAAATTCCCAAAATTTTCGCCTGCGGCGCTAAAAGAGAAAGACTTATAAACAGTTGTAAAAACTCACATGCCCCCCCCCCCCCGAAGCTAACTCCCTGGATACGCCCTTGAAGGATATTGGGATTAGAGGGATATAGGGGATTAATCAATAAATCCCTCAATATCTCTCGTGATTCCCAACCCCTAGCCTCTAATCCACCAATCTTAAATGTAAGAAAATACACGATGTCTCTATTAATTCCCCAAATAACTCATTACTCACATCGATAACTCTGTTAATCCTAAATTCCCTCAATACCTCTGTTAATTGATTAAATCCATTTATAATTGATCTTAATCCCTCTATATCATCCATAGGGACTCAACTTTACAGCGCCGCAGGCGAAAATTTTGAAAATAAAAATTTCGGTTCCGGATCCGGATATCCGAAATTTTCGGTTCGGATATCGGATCCGGATCCGGATATCCGAAATTTTCGGTTCGGATATCGGATCCGGATCCGGATATCCGAAATTTTCGGTTCGGATACCGGATCCGGATCCGGATATCCGAAGATTTCCAACTATCCGACAACCTTATTGTACACGTATAGGAAAGAACTTGGGAGGAAAAATAGGTCTGTAAACGAAAATATTGCCATAAATTAGATTTTTGTATTGAGAACAAATTGCCATCATTAATTTTTATTACAATGCTTTATTCTCTGGCATTAAACGTACAAATATAAATAGTATATTTAATATCACAAAAATAAGTACAATATTTAATCTGGGCACAAAATAACAGAGTTTACTTTAATTGCCCCTTTAATCTCCAATTGAGTTATTTCTCTCAAGTTGCTTCGGTAAAATGATACAAAATGTCTTTTGTTGACATGTACCTGAAATAAAAATTATTTCATTAAAAACGGTACTTTTCGGTTATCTCCCACCATTTTCTTTTTTAATGAACTTGATCGGCTATAACTTATTTTATGCTTGATCCAATCCAAATGAAACTTATATCATTTAAAAGCCCTCGATAAGCGCTATCTTACCCAAATGGCAGGTTCAAGTCTGATCACTCATGAAAAAGTTACGAGTCGATAAGTCCAAGAAATCGTTTTTCACACATATCAACTTGTAACTTTTTCAGAGTGATCCGAATTGATACATCCAGTTGGGTAAAGGATAGCGTTTATCGAGGGCTTTTGAATGATATGAGATTCATAAGTATTAGACCAAGCTTAAAAAAGTTATAGCCGATCAAATTTGTAAAAAGAGCAAGGGCGAGGTAAAAGTTTAATCCCGAGCAGGCTTCTTCGATCCTGCGACCTCCTGGCAGTTATTGCTAGGCGCTTTCGCTCACTACGTACAGGTGTTCTACCAACTGAGCTACCGGGACGCTGCTTTCACCTTCTCTTTTATTAGATCTTAAACCCCCGCCTCGTGTGCGTTTTAAATGCTAGCCAGCTGGATCTTTTCTCTCTTTCTCTTCCTTACAAAAGGAAAATAGTGGGAGATAACTAAAAAGTACCTTAAAAACTTTAAAATAGTTCTGTATTAATATTTTTTTTCAAAGATTGATTACAAAAACTACTTTAATTCAGACTAGGACATGGATACGGATTTTGGTATCCGTATCTGAATATTTACGGTGTATACAGACGGATACAACCGGATATCCGCAGGCATTTTGGTATTATCTGTATCCATATCCGTATCCATGACCATGTCTGTTTTAATTTAATTACATGTAGTCCATGTCTCTTTGATTCTGCTATAAATTTTAATTCGAATTCTTGGCCAACTGTGAATGGAAGGCTTTCTATACGTTGTTTATTTATCCATCCTTTACCGTATATCCAAGTGTCAGTAATAACCTTAATATAATGAATTTAGGCATACAAAAATTGCTTCAACTAGCTATATAAATATTTAAAAATAATCCGTAAATGCTCCAATATACGCAATGGGTTTATATTATTATTAAGAAAGATATAGAGAGATAAAGATAATTTAATAG